GGTGGGCTTAAGTGGCAGTAGACTCATGTTTGTCGGTTTCCCTTGGATAGTTGCTCCTCCTTCATTGATTGAACTCTATCGCGAGGTTATGTCACTTGGCAACGCCCGTCCAGTCATACAATCCAAGACGCTTGAGTTCCAGGCCCATACAAATGATTAGATCTGGACGAGTGGAGTTGTCATGGCCGACAGTTGTACATTTCGAGGAGAGGCTGTTTCCACTTTTCGGGTAAAAGCCATGAAAAATTGTGGCCCTTGCTCCGCTATACCACCGTGTAAAGCTCGCTTGGTCATTGCAAAGCGCTTCTTTATTAAATATTAGTTCGGAACTAACAATAAGCATAAATTTTGTGGAATATAGAGAATTTGCATGGGCCTTGCATTTCGTATGGAAATTTAGGTGGAAGGGACCAGGAGCTTGAATATATTGGAAACCGAAGAGAGACGGCTTTGCCATCGTGAATTTTGATTTAAGCATCAACCCGATGCATAAAATTCCTTTGTTGTCGGGCCTTCATCGAGGAACGAAGATAAGCTGGGTTTCCTTGAAGGTCTTGAGGCACCATTGGTCTTGTGACCATCATTCCTTTTCTCAGATTAGAGAATACGCTCAATGCATTGAAGTTACGTGAGAAGTTGATATTAATTGATTGATCTACGGGAGAGATGGTCTTGAACTACCAACTAAAAGAGAGAAACTGAACTCGTCGGCTTGGCTGTGGACTTCATCAATTTAATTATGCGGAGATTCGATATCAAGTAATCGTAGTCATGACGTTGATGGAATTATCAAATATTTACGAGTCACGAAAAGAGTAATGCCGTTTGGTTAAAAGACATGAAACCATTGGGGATTTTTTGAAAATCAGCTTCGCATACTGGACGTATATAAATGCTAAAATAATGATATACTAATGATAGATGTATGGATGATTAACTTTCCTTTCGACAACATGACAAATAGAGTCTAGCTCATTTTCATGAATTACTAATTAGGGTGGACGTGAAGACTAAATTCACTGTGGTATCATAAAGGGATGGGGACAGAACTATTTTTGATTTTCTATTTAATAAAGAAGGAACCCTTGCCTTTTTAATTCATCGTCCATATCGTTCTTATGGGATTAAAGTAGGAATAATGAAATCCATGACTGCAAGGAGCCTACATCTTGTAGACGCTAATTACAGAGTTGTAGGGAAACATATAATTGAGAAGAGACAAAGAGCCAGGCCATTCTGCCAGGGTCCTGAGACTAAGATCCAGTCAGCATTTGAAAAAGATAGACGAATTACAGAGGAAGTTGGAAATTATACCAATGTTTAGCGAGGACATAGTACTTTCCTCAGTAAGGCCATATTTTAGGGAGTTCTCGGATCAACTCCAAATCGGG